AGAGTATCCCCTTCCAGATCAAATAGTAACTTCAATTGTATTTTTTAATATTACTGACTTCAAATACATTATCTAAAAAATCAAATGATTTTATTTCTTTTTCGTGTATTATTAGCCAAAATATACAATTAAAACAATTTTAACTTTCAATAACGTAATGAAAAGAAATAAAATTTGCTTTCTAAATTATGGCTATAATTTTTTTTTAAGTTCAAAAAATTATTGTACTTAGGTTCACAGACTTGATATTTTTTCCTAGCAGATTAAACTTGAAAAGTAAAGGAAAAATAGACAATTATATAAACAAATCTCTCACTTTATAAACCTATTTAATGCCACAAAAACGCAGGCGGTCTTTGTTAAGTAACTTTAAAAACCTACACTTTGTCTACTAGAGTTTCAATTTTCACACACATGTAAAAATGGTTAAGTGTAATATCATTTTATATTATATAAATAAAAGTGAAAACCCATTCCAGTCCTCAAAAGGCGGGGGAATTTCTAAACTAACATACAATAAAATTGCCTTGTTTCTGTGTGTATGCAGTCAAGATAGAGAATGTTTTCACTACCCCAAAAACTGCCTCAGGCTAACCTGTGTAGATAGTAATTTTTCATTATCTAAAAAATATATTAGGATTTCATTTATTCAATAAAAGTACCTAATACAGCCACAGCCAGGCAGTGTATTAGTTGCTGGCAAGACAGAAGATGGTCACTGTCCCAGGAAACTTTCTGTCTAACAGAGACACATCTGAGAGAGGTACTGGAAGTGTGAGGACAAAAGCATGTGCAGTGGACAGGTCAGGCACAAAACACAGGTGCAGGTGATCAAATTCTGTGAGTTTGGGGAAGCTGGGGACTGGCTGAGAAGGCTTCAGGTGATGCTTAAACCAAGTCATGAAACTCAGCAGAATGGATAAGGACAAAGGAATCTGGAGAATGGTGGCAGGCATTCTTGGAGGAGAAGTGTATGCCAAGGCAAAGTGCCATGAAAGAGCAGGCTGGTTAGAGCTGTGAGCTGTAAGGCACAGGGGTCAGGTGGGTGTAAGGCGCAGCTCTGGAGTCAGCTGACAGACCTCTCATTTCCAACTGTCTGACCTCGGGCAGGCACTTAACCTTGAAGCCCAAGTTTCCTCATCTGTAAGCTACTAATAATAATGCTGATGGCAAACTGACCATAAAAACTATTTAAAATTAAGATAAATGCCAGTTAATTACAAATTATTGCCCTACCAAATCAGAAACAAATGAAAAGAACAGAGGATTCCATCAGGTTCAAAGATCTCTAAAAGCAGAAGGTCAAGCTCTTTGGGAGTGGG